AGAAGTGATAATATATGAAGATGATATAACAGAAGTTTTTCATTGCGATGACAATGCCCCAATCATCAATCAATTAATGAATGGAGAAATCTGTAGTATAGTTCTAGATCCAGAAAATACTGCTTCGATAGTGAAAAAAGTGACAGAGAGGTTATTGAAAACGAAAAAATTTCGATTGACGAGTTAGTATTCTCAACACAGCAATTACAGGACTTGAACAGTGGAACTTTGTAATTGAACAAGAAATTATGTCTGTTTATAGAATTAAAGAGAAAGTATTAGCACAAAAAACGAAGCAACTTAAAGAACTTACATTGAAAGAAATGTTTAATAAAGTAAACAAATAAATATTAAGCTTTTTTTTGTAAATTTTGATGTAAAATAGATTATAATTTTTGCATGAAATCTTACCAGGTTTAAATTGATGATCTATAATCCGGAAAACCCGTAATCCGGAATCGCCGAAGTTTCAACGAGTCTGGATTACAGACTTTGTACTGTACTGTGAAGGTTTGGTACCGAAAGTTCAAAAACAAGGACTATGACTATCAAGAAGCAGTGCTTTGGCCAGCTGCGAGAACTTGTGGAAGAAGATCAGTATGCAACCACTCAAGAGCTTGCTATAAGGAGTTAAAATGTTAGTGCCATATTGATTAGTCACAATATTCGATGCATAAACTTGACGGTCAAGTTGAATTCCTGGATGCTGCATGAGCTGACTCGAGCAAATAAGAACAGACACACTCATGCTTGCGCTAATCTGCTCTATCAATGCAAGAACAAAAATCTTGTCACTTGTGATGAAAAGTGGCACTTTAACAGCACAGGCCAAAAAGGGGTTTGGTCTGTGCCTGGTGAGCCCGTCAGCAGCAGCACGAAGCGCAATTTGACTAACAAAAAGATCATACTTTGTATCTGGTGGGTTACCACAAAAAATAGCTGGAAAAAGATAAAACCGTCGACAGTAAAAATGTACAGCAAGATGCTAGTACGTGTTAACACTGCTATCAAGGAAAGACTGATCCGAATTCCGGCACAGAAAGGTAATGTTCTATCAAGGTAATGCAAGAGCACATGTGTCAGCATTCACCAGCTGGACTCTGTATGGACTTGAATGGGATCTTTTGCCACATACAGCATATAGCCCCAACATCACTCCTTTACACTTCTGCCTTTTTTCACACATACAGCTACATCTAGCTCGTGCTATCTTCCATTCTGCACAGGATGTCCGAAAAAGAGATTGATCGTAGCCACCAAGTTTCGGGGCCAAAAGCTTTGAAAAAATACCAAAACATTGGCAGAAAATCATACATTTGGATGGTGATTACTACTGGTACTAAAGTTATTGCTTTCATATTTTTCTAACTTTATTAAGAAAGTTTTTTAAGCAGAAAACTTTGGTTACAACCAGATAATTTTGCCTTGCTACAAAGTGGGAACTGAATTGATTGAACGAGAAATATACCTCTAATGATATTCAAGGAAATAAGTTAAAATGAAGTGCAGCAAAAGATGTGTATAATTTAATGGCTGTACAAGGAAGTCATATAGTGTCCACATCAGATATTTTTATATAGTATATAAATATTATGACTAAGATTTAACTTTTATAGCTAACACACTAATTCACCTCTAAAATACACCAAAAGACTAGAAGAACAATAAATTTTACAAAGTGCAATATTCAAACTTACAAAAGTTGAATAATAAATAAAGATTTATTTTTCTTTTAGAAATGTTAACAGATTACAACAAGCTTTAAATGGAACCACACTCAGTTTAAAATATGAACATATAATTTTATACCTAAAAATAAGTATCAGTTTTTATCAATTACATAAACTTTAAAATAGTTTAACATAAAAATAATAACCAATATATAATCTAAACAAAAGCGACTTAAATAAAGTACAGAAAGAAAAATATTCATGTTATCACAGAAAACAAATTTTTTTAATAGGAAAAATGAAATTAAGATGAACTTTTTAAGCTAATAATTATCTCTAGATATGATTTTCTTCATGATAACATCTGAGAGGTTTCAGATATAGTAAACTGAACTTCAAAATCAGAATAAAAATTTCAAAATGAGAACATTTTAATTAAAATATCACTATTTCTTTTTAAAAATATTTTCAATTTACTGTTTTTAAAAACTTGAAACATTTTTTAAATTAACATTTTTAAAAATATTGAAAATTACAAATAATTATGAATACTCCTCACTTATCATCCATAAATATTAAAATACTTTTTAATCTCTATGAATGTATTCTCAGTCATCATCCTATGTAATCCTAATTTATTTTATTTATCCTTAAGAAATTATCTGTAAGAAATACGTTTAAAGATAATGTTTTTAACTAAACAAGTAAATATTCATAAATATTTAATATTGAAAAATTTGATTTGAAGTATATATAAAAATAAAACTCTCATTAAGTACATGTGCGTTTTTTAAAAATGTGCTTAACAGTAAAAGGGTTAGATATCAAATAACAATTAACTGCCAAATAATAATTTTTACGACAAGAAGTTTCATCATATTAAGTTTTCTGTAGTTCTCTTGATTTTCTTTTTATATGGCAAAATATACTTGGAACAGTTTTTTTAACATTTTAGAAATGAAAATTTGCAGTTCATGTTTTTGACATATAACCGTCAGTTAAAAAATCATAAAAGGTCTTATCTAAACAAATAATATACATCATAGTTTATAATTTGACATTACTATCTTCAAGATTCTATTTCCTACATGGCCTATATCAGTCAGGCACCAGAATATTAAAGATCATACATACAACTTTGCAGAAGTAAAAAATATAAATTTCAAAGATACAATAAAAATTAAAAAGTCCTGGCTTATAAAAAATACTAGAACTTCTGATAATCCACACCCCACCAAAAAATCATGAAAAAGTATTCATGAGGCAAATAAGTATGTTGCCAAAGTTGTTGTAAGTTATCTGGCAATCCACAATGCCACCAAAAAGTATTTATATGGGTCAATGTGCAATGCTGGCATTGGAAGAATGCCTAATTAGAGTAATTCTGTTGATTTATTTTTTTAATATGAAAACAGAATAAAAAAATTACAAGCGGATTTCTTGAAAAAGCTAAGTGTTTTATTACTGATGTTCCTTGTTTTTTAAAATTTTTTTACTGATTGATTGCCCTTTTAGGAGCTCTTAGTACACTGCCAGTTTGGAAATGGCTCTTTAGCAAAAAAAATCGGTCGCAGAGTTCCCAGATACTCTCCAAAGGGTGTTATGAACTTTCGACTTTCCAGTAGCATAGCGGATAATAAGAAAGTCCTAAATTACCATTAAATGAACTTTTAACATGAGAGGAATGTGGTTTTATATTTATATTTCTGTAATTTTAGCTTTCCAAACTTCATTCAAAAAGTATTCGGTCATAGAAACATTAATATAAAGAGACTTCAATTTAGTATTAACACAAAACAATATTATACATAAAGCTGCTAGGAAGTTTACAATTTTAACAATAATAATACTGCAATATACAGTTAGAAAATCACCTTCAAATGTTTATAAATTGATTGCAACATCCGTTTTAGCATTTTAGTATTTGTATAGCAATGATTTTACTCAATCAAAACTATAAAAACATTTAACATTAAAAATACTCAAATCTGTTGTTTTCAATCTCGTACTAAATGGCATTCTTCATAGATTTCTCTGTTTTTTATTTATACTAACCATAACATACTATTGCACTTTTATGACATGGATGGCATACATTACGAGTACATCAGAGATCCCCCAACCATATGCTCGCATGCACCTGCACCCGGCAAGAGAAGAGTTTTATATGTGCCGGCTGCTCTGCAACCATGATAATAAAAGTGTAAGTTTTCAATGAAATGTTATGCAGTTTTTTTTTTTATTGTTAGTAATTAATTAGAGAAATACAAGCAGATTTATTAAAAAAAATATTTATTTATAATCTTAAATGACCTTACCAGATGTCCTGGTTTGATCAAGATTGTGTGCTAGTTTGATGGTATGATCCCAGCCAATTCGTTATTTTGACGCAGTTATTTGTTAAAAATTTTTAAAAAAATAAGTCAAATGAAAACAATATGTGACATTTAGTAATCATCTCGACTTACAGGTGGAAATAGCAGCACTGGGATCAACAGTACTTTGGCGATTTTTTATGGTCCTCCAAAAGGAATTGTACCAAAATCTTGATGATTTTATCTTCATACTCTCCCAATTATGAAGCAACAGCCAATGAAATGCAATGCCAAATATTGCATTGACTTTACAAATTGTATTTTTAATAAAGAACTATCGAACTTGTAGTTATTTATAAGAATGCAATCAATAATTTTTGTCTTAAAATTATATTTTTCGAATATTTTTTTTAATTATGTATAATTTTAACTGTGTTAACCTATAAATTTATTTTGAAAGAAAAATTGTGCCTGCCACCCCACCAGTATTCTAGAATGTGCTGTGAGGTAACAAAAAAATTGGGAATCCCTGCTTTCAAGCGAATTTCAACATCAATCTATATGATTTCGTATCATTATCATAGCAGATTTTCATTAGAAATTTATAGTTTCAAATATTCTTGATGTCCAAAGACTCAATATAATATTCTGAAAAGGTATTATTGTATTACAGTGCAAAAATAATATGTGCTGTAATGCTAAGTAAAATGACATGGAAAGTAAGTTCAAATTGCTGAAGATTCCATTACAAAAGTTTTAGACTAAAAACTGAATATTACTTTATAGGTTAGATTTCACTTCTAAATTAAAAGCTATAATTAAAAATTTTAGTCATACATTATCAGTATTATCAACTAAAATTGTTTGTTTGTTACTATTATATATTAATAGTTTTAAAATTGTAAATATGGAAATTAAAAGCAAAAGCTTTTTTGACATTTGCTCTTTTTAAAATTCTAAAACAAACTGTCTAATGAAAATAAATAAATTTCCTGCAAGAAAAATTTATAAGCCTCTTTCCCTTTTTAATTAAATTATTATGATTATCAACATTCTGAAAATCATATGCATACATTCAAGGAAATATAAAAAATTATAAAGTAAAATATATATATATATATATAACTTTAACAGCAGAATTATATAAAAAGTAGCGAGTTAAATTATAAAAGATGGAATGGATATGCAGCTACAACAAATATTAGGACACTATACTAAGCTTTCAATGTTTAATAATTATTCAGCAATTCAAATAGAATATGGCACCATAGAGTTCATTAAGTAAATTGCAAAGCTAGAAAATTATTTCTAAATCACAAATATCAGTTATATTTGGTTTACGAAGAAAAATACACACTTCTTTTTCCATGCTGAATAAATTCCAATTTTAAATGCATGATCTCAGATCTTTCAAAACAATATTAGACATTTCAATTTAATGCACTCATATATTAACAACACACAACTATTTCAGTTTAAAACTATGATGTATTCAAGTTAAAAAAAAAAAAAAAAAAAAAACATAAAATTCCAAAAATCATTATTTGAATGGAAAACACTATACTAACAAACTTTAATTGTAAATTCAGATCTAAATACAAATGAACACTAACAAATTTAATGCCAGGTACTAAACAAATATCATTTTTCAAAACTAAATAATTTTGTATTGTATGTCATTCATACAGATCAACTGAGGTTGGGAAAAAAAAAGTTCTATTTCATAAAATTTATGAAAGAGATTAAGATAATTAGTACCCGATTTCACGAGATATCACAACCAGGATATATTAATGTGCAACAAAAAAATAAATTACACTGAAGTTTCACACTTAGCATTCAAGAACTAATATCAAAACTTGAAGAGTGCATGAAAACAGTGTAATGAATGATTTTGATATTTAACTTCTACAAACTTCATAAAATATTATTCAACAAATTAGATCATTTAGGTTTTTGGCACAATAATTCAAAAAGCATTTCTATAATATAAGTGCCCACAATACAATTAATTTTGAAATCTATTTTTAAATGAAATTTGCTTTTCAAATTGAAAGCATTTCAGTAAAAAGCATGAAATCAAATTATTGGCTTAAAGAAATGCGATTCACAATTATTTACGATTCAATCTGGCTTTTTAAAAGTGTTTCTCCAAGGCTAATACAAGAAGCAAAGCGAGCTGCTTCTGGATCTCTGTTCATTGTAGCAACTGCAACAACTTTTGACTGTATGCAATAATAAGCAACAAACTGTAAATTCTCAAGATCACCCTTAATTATAACCTCTTCAAAATTTGCACCATATCCAGCATACCGAAAACTCCTCCCACACATTGCACTCCAAAAGAATGGAACGGAGTGAAAGACTTTACTTTTCCCAAGCATATTTAATGCAGCAGTGTGGCCATGAGACAAAGCCATTTGCCAGTGAGAAATGTTGACTCTTTGGTTATCATAGCATGTTAATGGGAACTCTACAATATCACCACCAGCAAATATTCCTTTCATGTCTGTTTCCAACATTTCATTCACTATCACATGGCCTTTATCATTGATGGCTATACCAGATTCTTTCAAAAATTCTGTTGCTGGTCTGACACCAATACCAACAACACAAACTTCTGCTGACAGAATTTCACCTGTCGATAATTCCACACCATTCAGTTTTCCATCAGTTCCAATGAACTTTACAATATTCTTACCACTGTGAAAAATCACTCCTTTCTCTTCAAACATATGTTTTATTCGTTCTCCTATTTCTTTACCAAAAACAGTAGCAAAAGGCACGGAATTCCGACTAATTACATTAATAGAACTTGCTTTAGAAATCATATAAGAAGCAACTTCCATGCCAATAAAGGATGATCCAAGTATAACCACTGATTTGCCAGGAATTTCTTTAGCTATATGCAATCCATCATCTGGCGTTCTCAGGTAACATATATTTTGTAAGTCAGAGCCTGGTATAGTCAGTGTTATAGGTTGGCCACCAGTTGCTATCATAAGCATATCATATTTTACCATCAACTTTCCATTATTACATGCAACCCACTTTTCTTTTGGATCAACAGAAGTTACTTCTGTTTCCATCATTAATGAAATATCTGCTTTCTTGTAGAAATCTTCATTTCTCAGATAAAGATCTGATGGTTTGCTGTCAAGTGCTTTGCTCAGCTTAGGTCGATCATATGGTAAATGTTTCTCTTTAGAAATTAAAATTATTTTTCCATTAAATCCTTCTTGCCTTAGAGTTTCAGCACACATATGGCCAGCAGCACCTCCACCAATAATAACAAAAATAGCAGGATTAGCATGGGATGGTTTTGTCATAGCTTTCACTCTCTTATTGCTTTTCAGAGAAGATAACGGAGCTTTAACTTTAACATTTCCGTCTTCTACAGTGACCTGATAGCATGGTAAACTGTCTAAACCTGGAAAATCTTCAATATCTCCCGTTTTACTATCAAAGCAAGCACCATGCCAAGGACACCTGACTTTCCCTCCAATTAACACACCATTTTTTAAAGGTGCACCATAATGGGTACATTTAGGACCTAAAGCAGAATAAGTTCCATTCTCTTTTACCAAAAGAACTTTGCCATCTTGGCCAATGTCAAATTCTGCCATACTACCATCTTGAAATTCCTCATCTCTGCATACAACCTTTTCAACATAATAATTATCTGTTTCAGTCGAATTCTCACCCTTTCGTGGAAATTTGTATTCTTTCTTTGATCCCAAAGCACCCATATTTCAGAATTTTCGTTATAACTTGTGTACTAGAAAGCCGCTAGCATCCGTTGGTAAACAGAAGCAACATGTGGGCGGGGCTATTCGCCCTAATAAACTAGTTTGACAGAAAATGAAAGTTAAAGTTACCTGAAAACAAGTTGGATCTGACAATAAGCAAAACTAATGCTTAATTATTTTTGCAAACTATATGAAAACATAAATTTCAGCAATATGCCAATATATTGATCTGGTGTATAAAAATTGCGCTGTATAACACATTATAGAAAATTAGATGCTTATAATTTCAAACATAAGAGTTTCACGCGATGTTTGATAGAGTCCAGAGCTTAAATTTTCAATTTCTGAGGTAAATCGTAATTCTAGCAGCAAACCGGCGCTAAATAAAAGGGCTCCGGCACTTCTTTTATGTAAGTGAAACGCAGTTTCAGCCGACAAATTTTATTTGAAAAATAAATATGCTTTAAAAGTCGATTATAACTCATATGGTAAATGAGTTGGACCATATGAGGGAGTGCAATGACGGAGAATGCACACCTGTCTTTCTCCGTCACGTCGACGAGGTAAAGACTTTTAAGTCCGTAATCTACAAGACTCATTCTTCAGGTAAAATAGTTGTTTCCGAAAGTACTAAAAATGATTGCCTTGGTCACGCACATCCAATGCTAGTGAGCTTTCACTGCAGAACTTCTGAACACTTGAGCAATATAGCCAATACGCAGGGGGACTATTGCTTGAGTAGACCTTTCGTTTATTCTATTGTTGTTATCGGATAGGATTCAGGGGAATTTTTTCCCCCCATCGCATTCTGCTTGACAGTTAGAATTATATTGTCAGGACATCACGGTCAAAAAGCTTTGAACTCTTTGAAGCTCCATTAAAATTTCTTGCATTACTTTCATATTGTTTCTAGCATTCTCTCTATTCTCATTAGTAACGCTTATTTGTTTAACCTTTTTTCCATTGGTGTGCTGGAAGAAGAATGATATTTGTTTCTCTCATCCTTCTTGAAATAGTACGTTATATCGTATATTCAGGGCTCAAATTCAGCCTTAGGCCGGCTGAACTATTCCTTAATTTTGGAATAAAACTACAAGTTCAACCGGAGCCCCAAATAAGATAAGGTCTGATATTTTAATTTTTTTATCATGAATTTAATAATTTATTAAATCTTTATTTATGTCTTTATATTTTAT